CCGTTCTTCATGCCTGCTGTTCTTGAGACAACTCCAGCAACTCTGCTTAGCATCTCCTAAGGGATCTGGCATTTGCAAACGGCCAGGACAGTGCTTTCAAAAGTGTGGAAAACATTATCCAGATCCCTCTTTTTAAGATGGTCTTGGGTTTGGTTTTGAGGCTTTTGGTTGGTTGGTTTTTGGTTGGGGTTTTGCTTTTTTTGTTTTAGGCTGTAACTTTTTTTGAGAGTTTAGACCTGAGTAGCAATTCCCTGGGCTGTACTGCTGCTGTAATCTGGCTGCCTGACAGCTGTCCGGTAAAGAACCGCAGCGAGCAACATGAAGTGCTGTGTCAGGCGTGGCTGAGCTGTTGGCCGTTAGCAGAGCGCTGGCCGAGGACATCCCGAGCGTCGGCTTTGCAATGTTTAAAATGCGAGTGCAGGACCCTGTGTGCAGGCAGCCTCGCGCTGGGGCTCGCAGCAGAGGTGGGTATGCTCTTGGGCTGGGGTTAAAGAGGTTCTGGGCAAGTCCCAGGTCACAGCTACGTTGTGCGATCGTGTCTCTCTGCGAGCCTCGGTTTCCCTTTCTCTAAAGCGGAGAAATCAAAGCGATCTCCTTTTATAAAGAGCTTGGGGATTTAGGACTTGTCACCCTCAGATAAGAGAAAATCAATTGCTAGAAACTCCCAAGACACTTCACCTCCCCAAAAGTTGGAAATGTGAGCAGGGGGAGCGCGAAAGCCTGGCCGGAGCGGTGCCATCTCAGCCGGGGCCAGAAGCAGGTGAGTCTGAAAGGGACCGGGAGCTCTGCGTCGGCCGATTGCAGGCATCTGCGGGGTGTTTCTTCCGAGGCGCCCTTTGCCGGTGGTTGGCTCTTGTCCTGCAAAAAAGGGTTTTGATTGTGTCTTAATAAACCATTTTTGGCCTGCCTATCCTCACTGCAGATGTCTGTCTGGTCTGTCTGTTTAGCCCTTGGACTCTGCTGCTGGCAGTGAGAGTACCAAGACTTAACTATACCTTGGACAGAAAGGGGTCTTTTAATCAGGATCCTTCCTGAGCAGCTTATTCCTGGAGCGCAGGGTCCCTGTTTCCTTGGACAGGCTGGGACAGCCTGCGAGGGCAAGCAGAACCTTTCAGCTGCAAGGATGAAGGGGCAGCTTGAGGGGAGAGCTCGGTGCCCTGCCGAACCCTTGTCTTCTCCGATGGAAACTTCTGCTCAAGCCAGAACACCTCCGTACGATGGCAGAGAGGAGGTGCAGCTCCTTCCTGTGGGTACCCTGACTCCGAAGGGGACTTTCTGAGAGCAGCTTGTCAGATTTGCTGGGACGACGGCATGATTTTGTGCCCTGAAGCCAGCGTCAGGTTTCAACAAAGGTTAAAGAAAGTAAACTCCATGTGCTTCTGCAGACTATTATTGTGTAATACTTGACTTTGCAAACTTGAACCTAGTAAAAAACTGTGTAGACAATGGAGGAAGAGAAATGAGCCCCTCTGCTGACTTTGGGAAAGGGAGAGGGTTTCTCTTTCTGGGTGATGATCCAGGTTTTGCTGGTTGTTTCTGAGCAGAAACCGCAAGTGAGATCCAGAATCACAAACATGTTCCTTGAAGTAAGGTTTCTTTCATGGTTTCCTTGACCTCATAGTTCAGACCATGCTGGAAAGAACTCCTTTAATGCAAATATAACTAAATCAAACGTGGGATTTTTGCTTTCTGCTAAGATCTAGTCCTGGCTTTTGTGTTCAGCAGTACAGCCCAGGGCTTTTGAATTAAATAGCAAAACTCCCACTGAGTTCATCACAAGAACAGGATGAGGCCTGTGCTAATCACGCTTTTGAATATGAGGCATCCTTAAGTTCTGGGGGTGCAGGGAAATTTTGGCTTTGGTTCCCTTGGCTGGAAGTGCCAGAAAGTGCGGCACAGCCTGCTCGGGAAAGGGGCTCCCGTGGAGGGATCCCTTTCTGCACCCCAGCTGATGAGGATGTGGGGCCGCCGAGCTTCCTTCGTCTGGGGTGGGTGGTCCTGGAGGGAGGAAGGCAGTCACAACCCCTTGTGCTAAAGCAAAGCCCCGGGTGACTGAACGGGATGTTTGTACCGTGTGCTCGGAAGGTGGCCTGAGCCGCAAAGCTGCGAGTGAACAAGCTCCCTGCGCTCTGGAGTCCAGGCCAGCTCAGCTCGAGCCTCCCAGTCAGCAGGATAAGGGTTGTGCTGCCATAGCTTTACGTCCACGGACCTTTTCAGGCTTGCGTCTGTGGCCTCTGCCGAAATCCCTCTGCCTGCCATGGTACAGTCTGCTCTGCGCTCGCCGTTGCTGTGTCTTGTGGAAGGGGCTCCCTTTTAGGACCCTGCTTACTAATCACTGCTCTGTGCAAAGTGTTTGGGGAAGCAGCAGGTAACCTGCTTTCTGAACCATGCTCAGGCTGGGGAGGTAGAGAGGACCAGATACAGAGCCTGCATAGGGCTGGGACTGTCAGTCACAACTGGTACATACTCTCATTTTTAAAAGATTGATGTGTGTCATGACCAGTGGAATGCTGTCTGTCTTAGAGTAGTCTCCCGAGAAGTCTCATCTGCTATTAAAACAGTTGTATACTTGTAAAAGCAGCTAATGATGATGGGTATTCCGGTATGTGGGTGATTAAGGAGTCATTTTAAAAGATACCATATCTTTAGAAAATGCTGAACACTCATCCAGGAATGATTTGAAGGAACCTGACTTTGACCTTGCCGCTTGCTTCTGAAAATCCAGGTTTACGTGAGCTTAGGTAAACACTTGGACTTAATGCTACAGGAGATTGTTCTCTGAGCCCAGGAAAATATGTGCAATGAACCTAACTCTCTGTCTGTCTGTCTGCTTCCACAGAGCAAACTTCCCATGACTAACAAATGCTGGCCTAGATTATGAGCTCAAACAAGAACGCTCGCTACAATCGTTTCTCCAGTGGCACAACAAACATCACTACTTCCGAAAACACTAACGGGGTAAGGCTCGGTGTTGTTGGCAGCAGATAGGGGCTAGGGCTGCTTCTTATGTTCTCATCCTTTCTTCTGAGAAAATGAAGATGGCTTTTGAAAATACAGTACTTTCTTGCCTCTTAAAAATCCCAATATCCACAGATAAAAGTTGGGAATATAGATGTACTTTTTTTCACCAGTTCAGGAAAGGTGGCAAGTCTTTGGGCTGTGCTGCAGTGATAGGCACTGACCTTCGTTTTGTTGATGTTTCAGACAAGAATGGAAACAACTTTTGGGCCAGCCTACTCCGCTGTGACGACCATCACAAAGGGTGAGTGTATTGCACGCATAGAGCTTCACCCCAAAGTCCTATGTGTGATTCCTACCATTTTTTTTGTTGTTTTACGGATCATAAAGCTGTTGGGAGAATCACTGTGTTCATTAAAGACAGGTGCCGGGGTGCTGGTTTTAGTATTATGCAGCTCAAGTGTTATTTAATCATGGCATCTGATCACGCATGATGGAAGTGAGCATGCACAGAAATATTCTCCCATTAGGCAGACTGAACAGTACCACTGGGAAACCCTTGCTGAAATTAGGATAGTACAACGGGGTTTGTTACAGAGCTCAGTCCCAAATCTTATTTATCTCTGTGACTTCTCATGCAATCATTACCGGTGCTGAAAATTCACATCTTCACTCTGCCTGACTGTGAGTCACTCTGGACACTTTAGTAAAACCCCCATGGCCATTTTTAACTCGGGCAGAAGGGGGTGCAAGTGTACCTGCTCATTTAAAATTCCTGTGCTTTGTTCCTCAAAGCCCAGCAGGTGAGGAGTCTGAGCCCTGACACGTGGTGTGAATGCAGGAAGAGGTCTGGTTTCATTTTGGAATAAAAATATCCTTACTTTAGTAAAGATAAACTGTGGCACTTGACACTGATTTAGATAAGGAAATGAACATCTGCCCGGGGGAAATGTTTGGATTACATTTGTACAGGACTCTGGACTCTAGATGGTTTTGGACTCCTGAATATTTACATTCCAAATTTTATATAAGTCAGTAACATGATCTTTATACAAAGATCTCCAATTTAATTTAGCATGCTTCCCTTGTGCTACAAGAATATCCAGACCTCCCTCGATCGAAGCAATTTTTGTTGGTGACTGAAATATGTGGGAGTATAAGGTTTCCTTTTAATAGCATTTTTAACCTATGGACCTGGTAGAATATTATCTGTGCTCTTTTCTGGGCAAGCTACCTTCAAAGGGCCGCGTGCATTTTGCAAGCTATCAGAGATCAGGATTGTTCTGCCTGTACTGATATGTCCAGGTCAAGAACAGGACTTGAGGAATCCCTAGTCTTTTCCTTTTTCAAGGAACGCTAACAGCTACAGAGACTGACCTGTAGCTTGAAAATGTTACTGAGGAGCCTAAACGCTTGCCTTTTTTTTTTTTTTTTTTTTTTTTTAAATTTACTTCAAAGCTGACGGGACCAATACTTTTAAACAGCATCGTCGGACCCCATCCTCCTCCAGCACACTCACCTACTCCCCACGAGATGAGGACGATGGCATGGTAGGTGTTGCCAGGAGCCCCCCTGCTGACTGGCTTAGCTGATTATATGTCAAATGAGGGCTGTCTGGCGCTGCTCTGCACTTCCCTGCCTCCCTCATCATTCCCGTGCGCTGCTTTATATGGGAGGCAGATGTCTGCACCAGACGCAGGACCAGCCTCAGCGTTTCCTGGCTGCTCCCAGGGTTGGTGCAGTGGGGAAGCAGAGGCTGCTTCTGACCTGGGGCATTAGGCTGGCAGTGCTGCTGCTCGTTTTCAGACTGCTTCAAAATGGTTGCAGAGCCCAGGAGCTACAAACCCCGCAGGCCTACTTGTGAAGGGGTACCTGTCTCCTGATGTGAGCAGCGTGCTCTGGGTCTCCTGAGCTCGGGAGAAAACAGAGCTACTGTCAGCGATGTCCGGGGCTGTGGCTGAGGCCAGTCAGCCTCCATCAGGGCGTGTTGCACGGACCATCCAGCAGCACAGCTGGCCCTGCAGTTACGACCAGAAAATCCATTCCTCTTTTCGCCTCCAGATGGGGCTTCTGACCTGACCGCAGGGAGCACGTTTGAAACCTGCAGAGTGGGATGTTGGAGCCACAGGCTGTGCTCTGCTCATGGGGATTACATCATCAGGGTCTTCTCACACAAACCATTCCCATGTCTCGCAATATCTTTGCAGAAAAGCACTTCCCAGTTTTGCACCCAGCTTTCTCATTCATCATGCTCACTTCTGAGTAAAAACTTCTTTTGGGGGAATTTAGTGATCCAGCGGGCCTCAGGGTTACCTGCTTAAAGAGAAATCAAATCAGCTAAATCAATCAAATCGAGAACAGCAACAGCAAAGCAAACCTCAGTGAATGGACAGATAGCTCTGAGGCCTTGATCTTCTCCCATCCCTGGTGTTCCAGCCACATCTCATAACCACAGGCTCCTATTTAGATTTAAGGATGTGAGTAGCAGACTCTTGAAATTAAGTAAGTTGTTGTAGACTTTGTCAGGTTACGAGACCCAGCTTCCAAGCCAGGGATAAATGGATCACTGCTGCTGCTGAAGTTAGGAACTAGCAAAGACTGGGGTCAGCAACGGTATGGAGCTACAACGCTTCTTAAAATAAATTTGACACCAGATTGCAGAGAGCTTTATTGTCAGCATCCTATAAAGTTCCTTCTGTTGCTCAGAGATCTTGCTGTGTTTTATGTGAGCGTGTGTTTGTTTTTTCAAAAAGTCCTTTGAACATTTGCCTCGTGTCCTTGGCAAATGCAGCTCTCCATCACATCGCTGACCCCATGGTGCTGGGCCACTGTTCCAGGAAGCCCTTGGCTGTCAGCACTGATCCCGTGGGCTGAGTGCTGTGCTCACTGCACCCTTTTCACGAGCTGTGCAGTTTTTACAGAGCACAGATGAGGATTTTTCCAGAGGAGCGGGGGGGTGCTGGGGACATTACAATTGGCCATGTCTGATGGAGAAGCTCCCCGACTCCTTTGAAAACTACAGGGTGGCAAACTGAGGTGTGCAGCCAAGAATAGGAGAGATCTCTCCTAGGACCTAGCCTCAGTCCTCTTGGATGGTCTCAGCCCACCTTCCCTGGAATAATAAATACTCTTAAGCAAAAATAGCAAGAGGATTAATGAGTGGTTCAGGAAGCAGCCTGTGGCCCTAGGTGCTAACAAACCAGGAGCACCACGGCCCTGCTCTGCCTGCTGCTCCGGAGAAACTCTCACTAACCCTTTTAGGAAGCTTCCTTTGCTTTGTGAAGAAATAATCTGGGATTTCCCTCCCTCATCGCTGTTTTCCCTTCTCCAGAAGCTGCCAAGGGCTTGTCAGCCATCAGAGAGACAGCTGGAGACGAGTCAGAGCCCTCCTGTGACCTCCGCCACTCCTTTTTCTTTCTTTCTGAAGAAAACCAAAAGCAGAGCCGCGTGTTCTGTGTGCAAGGCAGGGATTATTGAGCGGCTGCTGTCATCTTTCCTGAAAACAGTGCCACGGGTTCCCAGCCCCGCCCTGCCTACAGGGAGCGGGAACGAGGGCTGTAGTAGTGCCTTCCCGTGGAGGCTGCTTTTGTAGCTGACATGATGGGAACTGCACCTAAAGATTTCAGCTGGGTATTGGGGCAAATGTGTACTCATGGATGAAGAGCTGACCGGCTGTCCAAAGTCTCGGTTGCTTACAGCGAGCTTCGCCCCTGAACCAGAGGCTGGGCTGAGTTACCAGCCAGCCACAGGCTATCCATCTTCCATCAAAAGATCTTTGAGCACTCCATCCTTGGGCTCTTTGAAGATGGACTTGATGTTTAGTGCAGAAATAGCCCTGGCACAGCAGTGGGGAGGTGGGACCCTTCTGACACATCCTCCCAAATCCAAGCCTGGCCGAAGCAGTGCCACTTGTGCCACCTTGCCCCCGCAGCAGGGCCTGGCGCTTCTTGGCTTTGGTGCATACGGGTCCTCCCCAACCTGGGGGGGGTCCTGTGGTCCTCACGCTCTGTTATTCTGTTTGCAGTGCAAGACCACCCTGCAGTCAGTCGCCTTGCACTGGCTGCTCTACGCACGACTGGTGCTGCAAAGCTCGGTCTGGGCGGGCTAGGAGTGGGAAGCAGTGCAGTGACTGACCCTGTAGAGCTGAGGTCTCTCGCTTCTTAGCCTTGTTTGCTTGGCAAAAGCAAAGGCTTCGGATACCTAGAGGGGCAGTAAACGCCAGCGCACACCGCTGCCGCTCAGCGTTGTCACTACAGCCCAGGTGGAGTGACCTTTCTCAGCACATCAGCTTCCCTCCTGCGGAGCTTGCACCAGCATTAGCCCAGCCAGGACACAAGGAGCTGAGCCCACGGCGTTGTACAAGCCTGGCAAGGCTGGGTCTCACACCCCTGCCTCCTGGAAGTGCTCTTGGGCTGCAGTCCTCCTCTTCTCCCTCGGTGATCCACATAGGATCACGCTCTTGATAAAACTGCCTCCCTGCAGAGCCTGCCTTTGCTGCCCTGATCTCTGTGTCACCTCCAGAATGGGAACTATGCACAGTCATTCTTGTTATTTTAATAACTTCTGTTACTAGTGGAGGCAAATAATAAAATTAATGGATCCACATAAAATTGATTTACCTCGTTATAACTATTCTTCCTCAAGGTTTACATATTTAGCCAATAAATATGCCTTCTTTAAGAAAAACAGCTTTATGCTTTGGTTTCTAAGCAGATGCAGCATTTCTGAGCTCCTAGGATCCCAGTATCATAAAAATTAAGCAGCAGAGCAGTGTGAAGAACCAGCAGGATCCAGGTCCGCTCCTCTTCTGCAGCCCAGCAAGGACTGCACTCAGGCTGCGGTATAGTCTGTCTCTGGGGAAGACAGCAGTCTCTGAAGCTCATCTTACATCTTTCATTGCTGAATTTCCTGCCTGCCCCACTGGCCTCTTACATTGCTTTTGTCTGTCCTTGGGTCTGATGTCACACGCTTTCACCCAGGGCAAGCGCACAAAATGCAGCTCGGGAGGAAAAAATGTTTTGCTCACACGGTAGTGCAGGACAGGAACACAGGGCAGCAGTCTCATCTGTGCAGCTTTCCCCGTTGCAGCTGGGCAGTGCCAGGGCTGACCTGATCCAGAGCCAGGGAGAGTCCCTCTTTGAGTAGGCGGCAGGGCCAGCGATCTCCAGAGCTCCTTCCAGCCAGCACTTCTAGGAGTTTGCGACTGATATAGGCTACAGTCAAGCCACGTATAGGTGTGATAACGTGCAGGTGCAGGCGGCCTGGGCATTGGTCGTCTCGGTGCTAAGCATCTGAAGCTTATGGCTTCATTCTGCCATTTCTTTGTCAGCCCATCCGTTCTGCTCCTTGAAGACTTTTATTGCTTCTCTGCACTCCTCCCAGTCTGCCAGCAGCATCTCTTCCGGAGTAACCCAGCAGTGCCTGCGCTACCGGCTGCTGTAGACCCTCAAATCCAATCACCCCGTGGGCTGAAGAGTCTCCGGTTTCACTTTGACGCCGAATTGCATCTTGGCTATGTGCTGCTGGTTGATATTCCACCCTTAGAGATGCGCTGCTGGTTAATATTCCAGCGGCGGCATTCCCTCAAAGCCAATCCCAAGACTGCCGTAACCAGTGGGATTTTTCTTGATTGGTGCAGGCGATGTCCACTTAGCTCTCCCCTCCCGAGCAGGAAGCGACAAAGCCAGTCTGTTACTGAATTGAATAGAAGGAAGTCTCCACACTTACGCAAAGAAATTTGGCAGAAGTTAGATAGCGAGTGAAACAACAAGTGCTGCAGCAGAGATTATAGAAATTGCAGAAGCTGGTTGCTGTCTCTGGGGGAGATTTACAAAGCTTTCTGTGAAGGATTAATTCTTCCAAACCATTGCTTTGCGGGCACGCACGGTAAGTATACAAACGAATGCACCTTTGAGAAAGTTACGTGCCTGGAATTTAGATGTCAGCTTGGTTTAGTCCGTTTAACCTGAATGGTGCCTGTCCTGCCTCTGAGCGTGGTGCAGCGTTCCCGGCTGCTGGGAAGGGCGCACAGCAGCGAGACATGCTACTTCTGGGGGCCACTCAGTGCAGCTTGGCAGAGTAGATGAACAAATGGAGCAGCTGAGTTTTGGGGGAGGACGGGGGACTGCACTTGAAGTCTGCGTAGGGTTTTGGAGCCGGGGGGAATTCTTTGCAGTAACAAGAACTGGTTTTTATCTCTTTGAAGCCTCCGATCAGCACCCCACGCCGCTCTGACTCTGCTATCTCCGTCCGTTCATTGCACTCTGAGTCCAACATGTCCTTGCGCTCCACGTTCTCGCTCCATGAGGAAGAGGAAGAGCCAGTAGGTATTTGGGGTTGTCTGAAGGAGCAGTATTAGGAAGTTCAGTGTCAAAAGAGTAACTTAGTGGACTCTTGTGAGTACGTAGAGCTGTCATGGGCAGATTTTTGTGATGTCTGGCAACTAAAAGCCTGGCTGTCAGGCCTCCTGGTTTTAATTTTGTTTCCACCACTGACTTCTGCAAGTTACTTTGCTTCCTTGTCTACCATTTCCCCTTACGTAAAGCGGTGACAGCGGTGAGGCTTTTCTGCTTGTCAGAAAAACTGTAAAGTCTTTACAAAGTCGTGTGATTCCCTGGCTCTGCTGCAGAGCAGTAGGGGGTTGCAAGTCTGTCGGCTGGTGGTCTAGCCCCAGGCAACAAGACTAATACAATTCCCCACTGATTCAGAGCCCCATCCTGCTTTTAGGGCTGCGTGGCACCCCACTGACTTGATTGTAAGCCCCAGGAGGGTGCAAGGAATTGTCCGCATGTGACTCTTTCAAGGGAGGACACTTTTAAGCTGAGCTTAGCTTGTGACCCAGTAACTAACCCCAGACTGGATGCATAAAAGGTCAGGCGGCATTTTGCCACAGATCTGGGATAAAAGTGTGCGTTTCATATTTAGGAACCCAGGGGGTTGTGTTTGCAGTTCTGAGAGCAGCACAGGATGAAAAGACAGACCGAACTGCAGCGACTGATTTGAAATGCTCTGAAATGTGAAGCCCTGCTCTGGCGTGGAGGGGAGAGCTGTGCTGCTCCGGGAGGATGTGCTCAGAGCCCACGCTCCGGCAGTCTTAGGTGGTAAACAAAACTGGAGAGATGGGCCCATTGCGGCAGAAACAATGTTGTTTCTGCTTCATAAGGGAATGAAAGAGCCCTTCCTTCAGGACGTTTCAAAAATACAAAAGGACAAGCTGTTTTAAAATTGCTTTTAAACTTGAGGCTTAGTACGGAGGATGTTTTTGACAACGCACTGTTCAGTCCAACCAAGCAAAAAGCACCAGACAGTGCAGCTCACGTGGTTGTGGTGACTTGAGTCACTCTGGCAAAGAAGTTGGTCTGTGCAGTTTGCTGTTGGGTCCTGATCCTGCCACATGCTGGTGGCCCCCAGTTTGTGATGAGCGGAGGGTCTCCAGCCATTCCCAGCTTCATTCTTCCCCTACCTCTTACATACTGGAGGTCAGCAGATCCAGACAAAAGTTTATTTCAAGATAATGAAACCCTTAGCGTGCCCTGTGCCCCAGGCTCCCCAAGGCTCAACGCTGAAGAGTTGTTTTGTTCCATCTGCAGAGCTGGATGCTCTTGCATTTGGACTAATCCTTGTGCTCTCTCTGTCCCTTTCTCTCCTCCTCTTTAGGAGCCACTGGTGTTTGCTGAACAACCGTCCGTGAAGCTGTGCTGCCAACTGTGCTGTAGTCTGTTTAAGGATCCAGTCATCACAACCTGTGGGGTAAGGCAGTACTCTTCCAAATTGTGAGCGCGGGCTCCACAGACGTCCTGTGTGACCTATGGCGAAGCCCTGACTGTCCCCAGTGACTGTCCCCAGTGACTGTTGGCCTGAGCGAGCAAAGACGAGGCAGCCCCTGACCAGGGAAGCCAGGCCAGCATAGAAGCAGAGGTGCTGATGGACATGTGTTAGATTTCCCCACAAGGCAGCTCTGAACCAGTCTGCGGTCGGGTGTGCGGGGCACTCTGCAGTTAGCCAGAGAAGCCTGGGGCTTGCTTAAAATTGGGCTGTTTTTCCCAGGAGAGCTGTACTGTCAGCCTCCCTATCCTGGCCACGTTCAGCCTCCTTGGTGTGGCTTCAGTGAGGTCTAAAGCTCCTCGATCCCTGTCCTGGAGGGCTCTGCAGAGTGCTGCTGCCTCCTGGGCACCCCAGGAAGGGCTGCTCTTCAGTTGTGAAGAAAGCGTTTCTTACAAAACAAGAATGGCTTGAAGCTTCATTTAGTTAATGCTTGCAAAGGGATTTGAGATCCTCTAATGAAAGGCAGAGAGTATTATGAATATTCTTCTATATTCCATTTTACCGGGTTTTAATAGAAACTGTATATTATTGCTGCTTCTGTGCTACATGTGAAGAAAGATGGCTTTGTGACGGGCTCTCTAATGCTTCTGACGTGCTTCTGATTGCTAGGATGGAGCTGTAGCAACAAAAGCAGGGAGCAGGATTGTTTATTGCAGTCAGGGTGCTATCCTCAAAGGTGCTGGAAGTTGGTGCGGTTTCGCTGCACCATTTCAGTAAGCAGCTCTTCACGGATGCACTGAGATTTACTGGTTAATATAGAGAAAAAAATAACGCTGCAGGAAGCAGACTGGCTTCATTTGCAGTCCTGGTTTGGCAGCTCTGGAGAGAGCACCATGCAGCTGTGCAGGGCAGGAAAAGGCCGCGTGAGCAGGGCAGCAGATAACAGACTTGCAGCCTCTCCGGCACTGCTGCCAAGCACTGGCCCTGTGGCAGGGGAATGTGGCTGAGGAGGCTCCAGGGAACCCATGGGGCAAGTTCAGGACCAGTGAAATGCTGCAGCCTTTGTTCTTCTCTTTATATTCATTAGCAAGTTAGATTGAATTTGCTACTTTATCAAGTTATATTGTTACCATACATTTCTGCTATGAGAATGGAGAGATAGAGAGCTATTTGAAGTGGCAAAATTTACAGTGCATTTAATGGGCTGCTTACAAACCCGCTGTCCCATCCACCTGACAGCAGGACAGTTTCAGCTATGTTAGAAGAGCTGCAGGGGGATATATGTGATGGGCTGACTGGCCAAGGACAGCGAGAGGCCAGACTTCCCCTTACTCTTCCCCTTGAGGACTTCTCAGGGAAATGAGAGGAATGACATGGACTAAGGGAGGGTGAGAAGAGAAACCGCGTGCAGACTAGGAGGGTAGGGATATCGGAGCGTGGCAGAACGTGGCCATGGCTTTGGCTTGCACCGTGATCATGGCCTGATCTTGAACAGGGCAGAACCCTCAAAGCTTCAAACCAAACTTCTCAGGACCAGGACCTGTGTTGCGCTCTTAGCTCTCTGAGCAAGCAGCTGGGTTTTGCCCCGCGGTGCAGACTCAAGAACGCACTGAGCTATAAAGCAGGTAGAACAGCTGCTAAGGCCCTTGTGCCACAGGCTTGGGTATCTCCCACCTTTCCCATTGTTAGCCACAGGGAATAATTTGTCCAATATTGTTTACGCTGACACTGCTGTTCCTCTTTGTCTCCACAGCACACATTTTGTAGAAGATGTGCCTTAACATCTGGTGAGTACAGAACTGTTCTTGTGTGATGCAGCCAAACCCCTGTTATTTTCTGGTTTGTTTGCTTTCGCTTAAAAAGCAACACGCAGAAAGGTGTGTGAAGGACTTAAAACAGGCTGTCAGTCACAGGCTGCCACTGCAGCAGTGAGGGGCTGGGGCACGGGTGGCTGTGCAGCTCGGAGCTCCGATGGTACGCGCTGTAGCATGGGCACTAGACAGCTAGGCCCAGCTCTTGGGCACAGGATGTTCTCAAATCCTGGAATATGCACTGGATAATCCCAGGATAATACATGTCTCGCCCAGAGCTGACCCACTGATTTCAGGCAGAAAGCTTTCTGCGGCTGCCTGTCTGAGGGACAGGGGGGCCGTGTTTGGCAGAGACCCATCAAACCCCTCCTCCCCCATCCCGTTAGTGCCAGCTCTCCGGCTGCTTACTGAGCCCGTGCGCGGCAGCACACAGAGCTGCTTTAGCTCACCGAGCTCTTCCACAAAGCTGGTGGAGCCCACGTGCCTGGCTGTTGGCCTGGCCTAACCATCTCCCGCTTGGTTTGGACTCTGCACTACGAAAAAGGCTTTATTTGGCACGAGCCTGTGCCCCTCTTGGAAAGCTGTTGTTCAGCACAAAGCCAAGCCATTCGTATTACCAGAACAGCGAGCCCTGAGGAGGCTCCCTGGGGAGGCCAGCAAAACAGCAGCTCTTTCTGCTTTAAGATGTTCATCTTCCACATGCGAGGGGTCCCTCTGCTTTGCGTGCTAATCCTCTGTCACCATGTTGTGCTGTATCTATCCCAACCTACAGATTTGTAGCAAAAGCCTTTGCAGTTGCAATCCTGAGTCTCTCAGTTTTGCTCCTGTCCTCAAAGCTCGTGTCTTTGCTTCGCTGCAGCGTCCCTGGCCTGCAGTGCCCCGCTGGCAGCAGAGGAGCGGAGCCCCAGGCCTGGGTGGGGGAATGGGTTATGTACGGGGTTATGTTATGTTTATGTTTTGTGGTCACTGCCTGTGGATACTCTCACACTTCGGCAAGCACAAGGTAGTCTGAGTTAGTGTGGCCTTCCTTCGTTGGCAGCTAGCTCAAATTATCATGGATTAACATAAATGTAACTTTTCACCAAGCCCCAAGACAAACCAGAGACAGTGGCTTGCAGACCTTGTGTGAATATTCATGGCTTGTTCCATTGCCGCCCATCTGGGAGTTGGCCGTCTTGCCCAGGGGAGGCAAAAAAATAAAATCTCGTGCAGTGTCTCGGCCCTTGCTGACTCTCTGTCTCTTTTGCTTCCCCACCTGGCAGAGAAGTGCCCCGTGGACAATGCCAAACTGACCGTAGTGGTTAACAACATTGCGGTGGCTGAGCAGATCGGGGAGCTCTTCATTCACTGCAAGTATGGCTGCCGGCCTGCAGCCAGCAGCAAGCCCGCTGCCTTTGAGGTGGACCCCCGTGGATGTCCGTTTACAATTAAACTGAGTGCCAGGAAGTAAGTGGCTTGTTACTAGCATGCAGCCTCGCCAGGGAAAGGGCTCCACCACCAGCAATCTGCTGTCGTACCTGAGCTGCCCTGTGGCTCCTGGGGACGGTGCAGCTCCCACCAGCAGCGCTCTGCTGGGGTGTGCCGGGGTGTGGGAATGGGCAGGGTGACTTGAGGGGCCAGTTCTTTCCACCATGTCTCAGTCTTAGGATGGTGGCAGATGGGCTGGTCGCGGGGAAAGGACGCTGTTCTCTGCTGCCAGCTTACCTGAGTGTCTCGGCATCGGGACAGGAGGTACGCTGTGAAAACAGCCACCTCACATCTGGGGTGAAACGCTGTGGCTATGGTCAAGCAGAGACCTTGGGATTCTTTTTGTAAGAGGAGCTATCCTAGTTACATCCTAGGAATCTGAAATCTATCTCCCTCCCCATCCTAAATGCATTCTCTGTCTTCCCTATCACCTGGCCATTGCCCGTTGTTGATAGCTGCCTGAAGGCTCAGTGGATCAGCTGCAGAAGTAGACGTTCCCTGCATAACTGTGGCCTATTATTACTCTCAACTTGCTGGCCAAATGAGAATGTAAAGCTGTAGTTGCAGTCTTAGAGCAGGAGGCTTTCGATCACCTGACAGTCTCACAGGGCTGGTTTGTTCCTTTTCTACGATCTGTGTTGTTTCCATTAATTTTTGCTTATTGCTGATTTTCCCTCCTTTTGCTTCTCTCCATGGGCAGAGATCATGAAAGCAGCTGTGATTACAGGCCGGTTCGCTGCCCCAATAACCCCAGCTGCCCACCTCTCCTGAAAATGAACCTGGAGGCACATCTGAAAGAGTGCGAGCACATAAAATGTCCCCACTCCAAATATGGGTAAGGAGCTGGTGCTTTTTGGTGGGAAGGATGCACTGAGCTCATTGCTGAGCTGCTTTTTGGCTCCTGCACCCTTGGGATAGCCCCATGGGCTCTGAGCAGTTCTACCCAGTGCTGTGCAGTGGCCTGAGACTGAGATCAGGCTTGCAGGGCTTGCAGAAGGCAGCCCCTGAGCCTTTTGTTGAGAAGGGGCAGGTCACACTGCCCAGCTGTAAGCCCTGCTGGCAGCCGAGGAGGAGGCTGAGGTGCGTAGGCAGAAGAACCAGCTGGAGCAGAGTCAGAGCAGTGGACGTGGCCAGAGCCACGCAGGGAGGAGGATGAGTACAAGAGTAACGCAAGCACCATAGCAGTGTCTTTCAAACCAGTCCCAGGCGCTGATCAGCTTCTGAGGGTTGATTGTCACCTGAACAGGTGTGCAGCTCGGGCGGGGGGTTCTCTGCAGGATGCACAGCTGAGGTTACTGTTGCAGAAGCAGAGCAAGGCAGGTCCTGACAGAGCAGCACTGACTCCCTGCCATGCTGCAGGCCCAAGTCAGCATCTGCCGAGGTCAGCTGCAGTTTTTTCCATTGCTTTTGATGGCTCTTCAGTCGGGCTCCTGGTGAGCACATGAACTGACACCACAATCTGTCTCTTGCCTGAGATCTGATTTTCCTTGCAACTACCTAGACAGACAGACAGACAGACAGTTCAGTTTGGGGCCAATGCCCTGGCTGGAAGAATGGGAGCTGCTTGGCCTCTGTGTTGCCCTGCAGTTGCCTGCAGCCAGCAGGATGGTGAACCTCAGTACCACTGCTCCTGGTAGGAGCAGCAGAACAGCTGAGGACCCACACAGGCCTCAGACCTCCCTCTGAGGAGCCAGCTGAGCAAGGAGGTCTCCAGTGTGAGCCCGGCTCCAGCCAGCGTCTGTTTTCCCCTTGTAGGTGTACATTCATAGGAAATCAAGACACTTATGAGACCCACTTGGAGACGTGCAAGTTTGAGGGTCTGAAGGAGTTCCTGCAGCAGACAGACGATCGCTTCCATGAGATGCAGGTGGCAATGGCTCAGAAGGACCAGGAAATTGCCTTCCTGCGCTCCATGCTGGGGAAGCTCTCGGAGAAAATCGACCAGCTGGAGAAGAACCTGGAGCTCAAGTTTGGTGAGTCTGCACCAGACAAGCTCTGTGGTCAGAGCTGTAGGGACAGGGCAGCTCTTTGTTAGGATGGTGCATTACAGGATTCATTCCTTGTTTAAAACTGGTGCTGAGCAGGTTTCAGGAGGTTCAGATATTCCTTGCAGAGGAACAAATAGGGGTCTCATCGACTTCTCTGCTGCCAGAACGTCATGGGACCTAATCCTGCAGTCGCCGATCACATGGAATTGTCTGCAGGCAGCTACCACCTTTCTCCTGTGACTTTTTCCTGTGCAGTCCATGGGCACAAGCCCCCATAAAAGTCAGTGAGTCAAGTGGCCAACAATGCAGTCATCCTGGAGCAAGCATGGTTCCTGGACACCTTTGCTGTGCCCAGCCCTCTCTTGCCTCTGAAATTTGTTGGGTCTTCAACATCCAAGTACAATTTGCATTTGAGTAGCAGACACCCTCCTGCTTTTCCCTGCTGGTAACAGCAGTGGGTTGTCCTCCCTCTGTTCAGAGGTTAGGTGGCAGCGGGTGTCCTCTGCCCGTTCCCCTGGACACCATCACTGACTCTGCAGTGACTGTGGGCCTGTCCATCTCTCATAGATGTGCTGGACGAGAACCAGAGCAAGCTGAGCGAGGACCTGATGGAGTTCCGCAGGGACGCCTCCATGCTGAATGTGAGGATGGGGCCGGGGATTGCATGCAGTTAGCTGCTGGCTCTGCTACTAGTTAGGCTTCTCCTGCAATGGGGGCAGTCCTTCGGGTTCCCTCCTGCTTGCTGGCTCTGTTCACCCCAGGTTTGGTTTGCTTTTACTGCAGCTGGGGTCTGAGTGAAGGTTTCCTCTAGGCTGAGTTAAAGGCAGCTCAGCGAGCACATTCTGGTCACTGCATCTGAGCTGCCATTTTAACGGTTCCTGCTGTCTTTTCTCAGCCTATTGCTGCTCTTGAAATGTGTTACCAGAGGAAAGGGCCCCTGCAGCAAGGAGAGAGACCTCTGCTCCAAAGTCTGGGCACTGCTGTAGCTTTTATACTAGCTGGGGACAGTATGCCCTTCTCCCTGCCTGCAGAGAAAGCAGGAAGATAAGCAGATCCCTGCTAACCAGCTGGGAGTGAGAGCTGCCTCATGATTTTGGACATTATTCAAGCACTGATGTTAGATAGACATTCCTCCCTAGTTCAGGCAGACTGCACCCCACTGGATGGCCCACCCTGGTTCACCTAAGCATACTAATGAAGAGGGTCCCCATGGATGCAGTAGGGACCGGGCCATGGAGGAGACTACAAAGAGACCTTCCAGTTCTTCTCCAGCAAGGTGGGCTTCAAGAGCCCAGCTGAGCAAGCAGTCCCCGTAACCGATTTGATTATTTTTAGCAGTCTGGTGAATGGCAGAACAAGGACAGTATATTCTGAAAGGTATTTCTGTGCCTGCCTGAATACTGAGGAGTTTAGTGCAGGTCTGAGATGCTGTCAGAGCCCCGTGGTCTCTGGAGGGAGGTGGCAGAGGGATGTACGCATGCAGTCCTAGAGCAGGAGACCTCCGATCAGTGTCAGCTGCTGAGGGAGGGCCCTCACAGGGAGTCAAGACCTGTCCAAAGGCAAGAGTGATTTTAGCAGTGGAGGGGGACGGTCTTAAAGCCCTGCCCAGAAGGGCAGACTGGTCTTGATGGCTCTGCAGCTCATGCAGCTTGTTCTGTTTTTCAGGATGAACTCTCCCACATTAATGCTCGGCTCAACATGGGCATCCTTGGATGTGAGTATGCATGCGGTTTCATCCTCTCAGGCTAGGTTTGGGTTGATGGCTCAGTGAGCCATCACGGTCACAGTTGTCTCTGGATGCAGCAGTGATTTGTTCACAGGATCACCGCTGCTGCAGGAAGAAAATACTGGTGGGAGAGTTTGCCAGAAGCACTGGCTGAAGGGGAACTCCCAGTGCTGCAGGGTTATTAGCTGCTGGGGGAGATGTCAAGTGGATTCTGCATCTCTGGCCTCCCTCGGTCCAGCCTGGGAGTTGCATTAGGGAAATGAGCCCTGGGGCTCAAAGCAGTGATAAGTCACTGAGCTGTAAGGGTGGGACATGAGACCCTCCAGCCAGACTGGGAGGGTCTCACGGTTCTTTCTGGCCTGCAACAACGTGAAGCGCAAGGAGGACCTGCCGGGCCAGTGCAGGGAGCTCCGTCTCCTCCAAACTCACCGCGACGTGGCACAGCACCATTCTCCCACCTCTCACCTGCCCTCTTGTTTCTGTAGCCTATGATCCTCAGCAGATCTTCAAGTGCAAGGGGACCTTTGTGGGACACCAGGGCCCTGTCTGGTGTTTGTGCGTTTACTCCATAGGAGACTTGCTCTTCAGTGGCTCTTCAGACAAAACCATTAAGGTAAAGGCTTGCCTCTTCTGTGTATCGTCTGCATTTGTAAATGCGCTTCAGGTGGGACAGAAGCTGAGTTGCAGTTTGTGGGGTGGGGGGATGTCACTTCCTGAAGTTTCTCCCAAAGAATCTTAAATGATTCTTTGCAGTTGTAGTTGGGCAAAATTCTCTGTGAGGAAATGTTACGTGATAGTGAAATCGAGAGAAATAGTGGGTTTTGCAATGTCCTGAT